AAAAGTAGTAAGAAAATCATTCCAAACGAAGCATAAATGAATATTTTGAATATCATATGAAAAAATATGTATATTTAAAATATATAGCAAAAAATTCTATCCACGTTAAGTAATATCTGGCCCAACACAAGTTTTGACTAATCTCTAATAAGAATTTTGATACCTGCTCCGAGTACCAACAACCATGATTGCAAGGGAAAGTCTAATTGATGTGAGGTTATTGAGTAAAACACTACCAATCAGCACAAGACATTTGTAAAACATGAGTTTTTTATATCATTGTAATATATTAGAATATTTATGACGGTAGATATTGCAAGAATTTATCAGGTTAGCATTATACTAAAAAATTCATACTCACATAGATAGAGCAAGACACTAGAGACATGAGATGGTATATTTTAATGAAAGGTTAGATATAATAAGATTAACTCAATTAGTCTATTTATAGGAGGGGAGATCAACTGATCAAAGAGATGTGCATTAAACTAATATCTATAAATGGTGGGGGCAATGGTGATGATGGGAATCATCATTAGTGGATGAATAATATTGGGAAATGATGGGTATAACTATAAAATTCATTAAGTCTAAGAATTCTCTACATCAAATATTATCTCACGAATATATATAAATAAAGCATGCTTATAATTTTTTATAGTTGACACTCCATCCATATTTGCTAAAACTACAAACACTTTCTTGTACTATCTAAAAGATCCCCTTGATTATTTAATAATATTTTATTACATATTAGTGCCTTAATAATATCAAATTTTAGAGATCTACAGATCTTTAGGTTCCTCTGATTGAGACGCATATATGATACAGTTAAATTCGAAATATGTTTGATCCAGATGGGCCTTAAAAAGTTCATGGTTTAGCTTATGAGTGCATGCTATCAACCTAATTAGGTTCATATATAAGCATTCATGATATCAATAGTTTTTCCTCATTGAGTGATATTACTTCAATAATAAGTTTGCTAAAGATAGAGTTTCATTAATCTTGAAGATACATATCAAAGTTTATCAATAAAAATACTTGGGAACTTTGAGATATGATAATTGTACCAAAACTAGTGTTTGATCAAATAAATTTCCTTGTGATGTAGGATGTGTCAAAATGAGCTAAAAAGGCATCTAACAAGCTTAATTAATTACCTTCCAATGAGATTAAATGTTTCATCTAATTCAAGGACTTGATTAGGCTAGGTTGTTTGAGCTTGGATGGAGTTGCTCTAGCCACATGTCTAATGGTTCTATTAGGGTGTGAAGAATCCAATGGTTTTTAAAAGAGATTCAGTTAATGAAGCATTAGTACTATTAATTTTTGAATGATTAATTAAGCAATTTGATTCATTTTGGGATAAATTTTTGTTGGATTACTTTGGCTAAGCTTAATGGGATAATTGCCTATGAATATTTGTGTCCAATTATGCCTAGGATGGAATAATTAGGTTTCTAGAGCAATCATAGTCCATTTTTTATCCAAATGTGTTATATGAGGTCTACATAGATTTACTTAGGTCGGTCCTCGATTTACCATGGCTCAAGGTTATCTTAGAGAGTAATAAATTATTATTGGTGAATTAAAGATACTTAAGCTTATCTATGCATAGATTTATTACTTAAATAGGATTAGGTAGGCTTAATTAGTCAATTAGTTTGTTTAATTCAAATGACTTTTTTCTTATGTCAAGGCTGGCTATTATAAGGTCAATTATATTAGTCATAATTTAATAAAGATGTGATTTGGCTAAATTAGTAAGGGTTATAAGTCTATATTTTGGTGGAATATGCTGGGTTAAAGTTTTCTAAACTAAATTAATTCCTTCATCCTCTAAAGGATTTCAGGTTAACCTAGGTTTTCTCTAAGGTTAAACTGAAGGTAAGGTTGAACTAATGCCATTCTTAATTAATAATGTCAATTTGTAATAGAGACACGGTAGCTAATGGAGGAAATTTCTAAATTCTAGATGAATTTTTTAAATAACTAGTTTGCTTGTTGGTTAATCTCATTCCCTTATCATATTCACAAGATTAATGAATATAGTCTAAAAACATTTCATTGGAAAACTTCTACTAGTGTAATTTGATGATATTCTTTTCTTTAGTTCATGTGAGAATAGACCTAGAATAATTAATGCTAGTTCTGATCAAACTATGTGAAGCCAAGTTTTATGTTAATTTTAAGAAGTGATTCCTTAGTCAAATTGAGGTCATCTTAATTGATTTTATGGTGTCTATTAGTTGACTGAAAGCATATCGTACAAAAATTGAAGTCATTCTTGATTGCCCAACCCCCTAAAATTTCACAAATGTCATGTGATTCCATGTTTAGCTGCCTTCTACAAAAATGTTTATTACGATTATAATTATCATAACATATCTTCTAAAACAAACAAAAGTTTATATGAAATGAAGTGTTATACTCATTAACTGATCACAACACAAAATTTTCTTATCCAAAATAATTATTGCCACTTGTCTTAAAACTTCAATTTCTATCAAACTCATTACTTTCATAAGACTTGGCCAGCAAGGTGATAAGCAGGGAGCTACCTCATCATCATCCAAAGCTTCAGTAAAACTCACAGTAACAAAAGCGAAAGGGCAGCCCAATTGCTATTTCTTCTTAGATTTACTTTTACATTTTTTGCCTTCACTAATAAGAATAACCTCATCCTCCACATTATCACCCAAGACATCCCCATCAACCCCAATAGAAGTCAAGATGTCCTCATCCATATCCAACCAATCAGTTTGAACCAAAGTAGAGTTATTGGACAATCGAGACAAATGGGCTTCCAAATCTATGTTAGACATAACAGAAATAGGAATATCCACAAACTTTGTGTTTTTTTTAGCAAGATTTATAATATGAGAAAAATCTGGCACAATAGAAGTTATAAAAATCTCACCAGATTGGCCACTTTCATCAAAACCCACCGCAATAGACCTAACACCAGAATTAGCCACAAAATCCACACCTGAATGGGTGACAGAAAGGTCATTACCATAACGATTAACATCACACACACCTAGTTCAATGTCAACCATACCCTGACAATTATGTTCGACATCTAAGATAGCTACCACTAGCAAGTGACGGATCCAATTCAGGAACATTAGGATTACCCGTGACATTAGCAACAACTAAGGGAGGGGAAGGTAATGGAACAACATGAAAATTTAGTCCAAACAAGTTCAATGGAGAGGTACTAACCTATTATGGAACAACCAATGTAGTAGGAGACGAAACAAAAAGGGAAATAGAAGCACCCTCAACCCCATCACCAAGGCCAACACCATTGCCCTCATTAGCAGCACTATCCGATTGAATTTGCGTAACACGCAAGGCCATCACCACCGGATCCCCACCCTCAACCCCATTGATACAGGAATTAGAAACAATCTTAGACTTCTCGTGATGCTTAGGCTGCAAATGAACACATTCCAAATTCGAATGCCCAACTGACTTGCAATGACCATAATATTTAGAGAATTCTTCCATTTCAACCAATTGGACATAACCAATCTTATTCGGGCCAAGACAAATACGATCCGGGTACCATTTGGTAATATCAATTTTTCGATAAGCACATGAGTAACATACGGATGGGAACCGGTAGCCGTAGCATTGTTCGTTTTCAGCGCCTTACCGAACAACGACCCCAAATTATGAAGAATACGAGAAGGGAAAAAATAGGGCACAAATTAGGAAAATAGACCCAAATATGTATAAGAGGGGATTCAACGTTAACATCAAAGAAAGGGGACCATTTGGTAAGCTTCATATAACAGTTAATGACGAAATAAGAACGATGGGAAAATACCCTACTATAATCGAAGTCATTGCTCAATTTGATCAACACATGCTTAACAATAAGCACCATAACAGAGAAAATTTCATTCAATTTGAGGTTAAAGAAAAATTTACAAATAGCATTGATGGACGGCCGACGCTCCGGGAAGAAACCAACCAAGGAAAACTCGAACGGCATCGCCAAAGCGAGCACCTCTTTCTCAGAAACTCAAAGAGAAGGTAAATCACGATGGGTGACCGCTTTAAGCTCGAGAAAAGTAGTCGGGGTCGAACCACCAGAAAGCGCCTCAAGAAAAGATTGAGAAGACGATTTACTGTCAAGGAATCTAATATCCTTCACGCGATTAACCGCCATGTCGACCAGAGAAAGGCCGGAGGAGGATAATTGCAAAAAAGACATACAAAACAAGAATAAGGACACAACAAAGCCAAGAAAAATTAGAAGAACCTGGACATATGCGGCCAGAAGAGGCCGAGAACAGCCGGCGGCTCGCTAGGAGCAAAACCTTAACAGAGCGCACAAGAAAGTTGAAGTGATCCCTAGGCACTTTTTTTTTCAAGATACATCTCATTACTTTACTATTTGGCTAAACTTAATTAATGAAAATATGTTAAGTAATAATTATCATTACAAAATCCTTAATTAACAAATATATTAACATGGCAAAAAAATTTAACAATAAAATTCAGAAAAATCTCCTAACAAAATATTATTTTTCTTGAAAAAATATTATGAATTTATGAGCATAGAAATTGAGTTCGGTAAGAACACAAATTAAAAAAAATATATAATACTATGATTTTTATTTTGTTCTTCATTTTGTGCGTTTAACATTGTTATTTTGTTCTTCATTAAGGTTAGTGTAACGATATAATCTTTTTAAATAATTTTACAAAGGGAATCATAATTTTTTAATAGTTCATAATATATGAAAAAAAAATGAAAATGTTGTATCAAACAAATTTCTTGTAAACAAACTAAAAAAAAAAAAATGCCAACGGGGCCGTTCTAGTCGTCTAGTCGCCCCAAAAGAAATCGATTTTTCTGTTAAATTAAAATTCAGAAGCTTCTGACATCATTTATATACAAACTTACAATCAACCTCACGGAAAACCTTCAACCAACAGAAGTAGATGGGACAAAATAAATAAATAAATAAGATAAGATAAAATCACAACGCATCGCCGGCCAGAATCCCCGCCCCCCGCCATCCTCTCGGCAATCTCTCCACCTGCGAAACCAACGGGCATACTTCACTAAGCTGGTTCACCAGCTGCAAGTAATGGCTGAGGTCGTGACACACCGCCACGTTCGCCGTCCGCCGACCGCTAACGCGAAGTTCCCGTCCAATATCGGCGTACACCCATCCGGATTTCGAAATCAGCCAGTTTAGTACCATCTTTTCTTTATCCCTCTCGTCAACGAAACCTGGCACCTTCGTGATGATATCACTTGTGTTCACAATTCGAAGCACCTTGCTCCCCTGCTCTTCCATCCGCCTCCGGAAGCTGGCATTGCCGACCCGCGGCCCGGCAAACGACACAACGGTCACCATTGGCCCAGAAGGACCCAGCATTGTCGACAGATCGTTTGCGGTGAGAACAGCAAGGGCGGCGCCGAGGCTGTGGCCGGTAATAGTGATGCTCATTTCGTCGCAACTGTATTGGTGGAGCAGGCGGCGGATCTCGTCGCGGACCTGGTCGCAGAGGCTACGGTGGGCGGCGCTGGAGGATGTAAAGAGGCTCCAGAACCCGCGCTGAACCATTGGATCCGTTCGCGCCGGGTCATGATCAGTCGGAGTGCAGGAAGGGGTAGGATGGGTCAGAGTGGCGCGGAGGTTATCAAGCCATTCGAGGGCGGTGACTGTGCCACGGAGGGCAATGACGATGTCACGGCGGCCTAAGCGTGCGAGTTCGGCTTCGTCATCGCAGACAGCAATGAAGCCGATCCAGCTGGTCTGGCGGGAGAGGGAAGCAGGGGCCCAGTGAGGGAGGCGGGAGCCCGAGGTGGCGTGGAGGTTGCGGGTGACGCGATAGCCGGAAAAAGGGAGTCCGGAGAGACGGAGAAGAGAGTGTTTGGGAAAGCGGCATGAGGCGTAGGAAGGGGAGGAGGTGTCCAGGTCACACGAAGAGTAAGTTGCTTGCACGAAACTCCCGTAGCGAAGGATTTCTGAACGGAGCGTGGGATCGAGGGGGTCAAGGAGGTTGTCCCAATTGTTAGCACCCTGAAATTCGGTCCACCGCTTGCCAAGCCGAATGGAGGCGGGCGGGCGGCAGGCGGCGGAGGAGGCGATGCGGTGGCTAGCGTGACGGGGTGTGGCAGTGTGAGATGGCCGGATGGAGGAGTACCACATTGAATAGCCAACGTTCTTAATTCCGTTGTCTTTTTCCCCCTGAAGTGATTAAGCTCTCAGAAGATTTTTTTTTAAAAAAAAAAAAAAAAAAATTTCTGAAGCTAAGAAGTTGGTATTGTTACGGTAAGCTAGCTGTTGCAGACGCGGCTGTTGTATTATTATATAAGAGAGGGAAGCCGGGACTGATTCAGAAGAAGTAGGTTTAAGTGAGACAAAGATGTAGATTTTGCTAAGAAGTCGTGGTTGATGGTGCAGGTTAAGGTGGGTAAGTGTGATGGTGGTGTAATGGTACGGCGATGCGCCGCAATATTTAGGGTAAATATGACTGGGAGATTGGTTCATACCGTTTTACGGCTGGTCGTTGGAGTCTCTACGACTACAGCGGACTATCGGGAGCGCGCAAAAAAGTGTCGGCTTTGCGCGTTGTCAGCTGTGCCACGGATGCACGGATTTGCGAACAGTTTTTTTTTTTAATTACATTTTTAGACTTTAATAGGGCCAACAATGATTCGCTTCGTTTTTTTTTTCCCGAAAAATTAGGTGCGAAGTCCATTTCTTTAATGTAAAAAGTGAATTACAAGAGAGCTATAAAAGAAAAAAGTTAGGACCCGATAAAAAGCTTATAGGAGGACAAAAAAATTCATAGCTTGTAACAAGAAAAATAAAAAAAGAAGCTAAAAAAATGCTAGAACAACTCGAATAACTAGAAAAATATCAAGGACTTAGAATGCGAAGCAAAACATGAACACTCAACAAATAGAATCATCGCGAGAGATGGTCACAAAGGCCCTTGGTTGTCAAAAGAGATCATCCAAGGGGTAGCTAGTAGACACTAGCATTCATCATAGTCCTTCCAAACTGCTCCTCATGGTAATATCAAAAAGTAAGACAACAATGAAAGAGTAGAACATGTAGACAGACAAAGCGCAGCTGAATTTTCAAGAAACAGAAATAGTTTCCCGTATCTCATTTATCTCTATACAACTAGTATTTATAGACAACTTACATACTTCAGTAAAATCTAAACCAATCCCAGACAGACACGTGGCAAATACATTTACATGGCTTTCTACTTACATCCCCCCTCAAATTGATGATGTATGATTATCCAACAATTTGGTTGTCATCTGTTTAAATCTGAAATTGGACAAAGGTTTGGTAAATATATCAGCAAGTTGGTCCTAAGTGCATATGTGGTGTACCGAAATCTGCTTGGTACGAATACAATCTCTGATAAAATGGCAATCAACCTCTATATGTTTCGTTCGAGCATGAAACACAGGGTTATTAGCTAACGCAATTGCCGAAGTATTATCACAAAAAACCGTGGTAGGTTCTTTTTGAGGAATGTGAAAATCTTTTAGTAAGTGTCGTAGCCATATAATCTCGGATGCCTCAGTAGCTAATGCTCGATATTCTGCTTCCGTAGATGATCTTGCAACCGTGGTTTGCTTTTTGACTTGCCAAGATATAATCGATTTTCCCAAAAAATTACAATAACCAGAAACTGATTTTCGGTCTTTCTGATTACTAGTACAATCAGAGTCTACATACCATATCAAAGTAAGATCATCATCGTGTAGTGCTATACCTTTGTCCGAAGAACCTTTAATATATCTCAGTTGTTAAGATAGTTGCTATTTACATGCTTTACATTTTCAAGTGTCCTTATAATTTTATCTTTCTTGATTAATATATATTAAAGGTGTCTGTTAGCGTATCCTGCAACGTAACACAACTTAGGGGGTAGGATGAGGAATTTTAATGGTTATTTTTTTAATATCGATACTACCATGATTCATGGTGACCCTGAAGCATAATTTATGTAAATAAGTTATAGAAACTTAATTAAATAATATATGAATTAAATTTTGAACTAATTCTGTAGGTATATGAAAGTTGTAAGTTGTTACAAGTGATCCTAATTGATTAATCAATGGGATACCCCAAGCTCGGTCCAATTCAAATTTAGGCAATATTTAAAAATGCAAGTTTGTTTTATTATACATATAAATAATGTTATGAGATTATATGGTGTATTGATACTTAAATTTTTTCCTAAAGCGTAACTTTGAAAAATTAATCCATTGAATTCAGCTTATATTATACCAATTAATGTATCTCGACTCAATGATGAATTCAATTGATGAGGCAATATAACTAATTGGTAATTAGATATGAGTACCTTATTCACTATTGATGGACACCGCCTACCTTGCAGTGGCAATCTGTAGAAGATTCAAAAAAGAACATTCAACTATGAAAGGTAACGCACTTTACTGTTTAGCTACAGCTGAGATTGAGAGACAAAAGCCTAGCGGAGCTAACATGGGAGTTAAAGCGCTTAGTGATAGTCCTTAGCCGTAAATGACTCGAATAGTGTCTGTGCATATTTCATGTGCCTAAGACAGCAGATAAAACACTGAATAATCATCTATTTTGGATAGAGATGGAAAGATATTATTCTTTGCGAAATTCCTACAAGATATAATTCATATCGTTTCTTATTCTCTAATTAGATGACTTAGACTTAATCAGGGTTTTAATCCTATGAGAGTTTCGCAAATGTTATCCCCCAAGAGAGAGTATGCCAACATTATAAGGTAAAACCCTAGGATGCGGTTCCTTACGAGAGCCGATTCGTCCTGGACGATTCTTGACTTCGTCTGGGACGAAAATTTTCCAGAGGACCAATCGCCACGGACGATGAATTTTTTTCGTACTGGACGAAAATTTTCATAGAGACAGATCGTCCTGGACGATTTTAATTTCGTCTGGACGAAATCTTTCGGAAAGGACCAGTCGCGCGGACGATAACTTATTTGTCTGGACGAAAATTTACAATGAACCAATCGTCCTGTCGATAATTATTTCGTCCTAGGACGAATAGGATTAGAAAATTTCGAGCAAGTTCCTATTGTTCCATGTGCTCTATAGGAGATAACTGTCTGAATCGGTCCAGTACGAATGGATATCGTCCGTCGTCAGGTTATAAATTTATATGATTCTCCTTATTGTGTGTGTGTTGTTTTTATTCATCAAATTACAATCACTCCCTTTCAATTTGGATTTTTAAAGACAAGTGTAAGCTTCAAATTTTACAAGTTCTCATGCTGAAATTTATTTGAAGTCTTCGTATTGGAGTTTATTTTCCTGAAATTAGTACAGCACAGGCAAATACATTCTTCTAAAAAAATTGTAGAGAACAGCACTTTAACAATAATGTTTGAATCATCAAAACTACATAATTGCA